CAGATGACTTGCTGCCTGTGGCATTTTAAATATGCCTTTTCATTCTCCTCAGAGACTGAAAAAGGTTGGGGCAAATTTCTTCTCTTGCCTGGCCCTTTTTTCACTATGTGCATTTCATTTTCTATCCCAGAAGTATACAGCACATATTATGTGATTCTAGACCTTTCAATCTGTTTTGTGATATTTTTCCCATGTTGTTATAAACTCTTTGGCAACCTCAGTAAGCACCATAGTTTACTTAGAACTCATTTCAGACCAGGTATGGTAATGTACACCTGGGTTTACCTTCGGAGGCTGAGGCAGACAAGAAGATTGCAGGTTTAAGCCCAGCCTGGGCAATTTAGTGAGCTCTTGACTCATAAACAAAACAACACACACACACACACACACACACACACACACAGAGCGCAAGTGAGATAGCTGACTGCAAAGACCTTGAATTCATGCCATATTACTACACACACACACAAACAGAAATAAAGAAAGCCCATAAGTCGTCCTGCGAATGACGAACAAACAATTTTAAGCTTAAAATATTTTCCGTCACAGCCAGGTATGTTGGTACACACATACAATCCCAGCACTCTGGGAGACTAAGGCAGGATGTTTATAGTTTAAGACCTGTTTAGACAATTTAACACTTTAGTGAGAGCTTGTCTCAAAATTAAAGCTAAAACAGGGCTGGGCATGTAGCCCAGCATGAAGATTCTGGGTTCAGTCCCCAGCACTACCAGGAGTACCATGTCAGGAGTATCATGAAGCAAAGTGGTAAAATATTAACAAATCCTGACACATATTAACAAGCAGTTTTCTAGCAAAACAGTTTCTGTGCCTGCCAGCAACATATATTTCTACTTTACCAACTTCTAATTTTATTATCATTTTAATTGATTATATATTTTTATTTGTATTTTAAAGAGAATGAAACCTAGCAAAATAAATCAAAACAAAGCCAATCAAAACAAACTAGTGTAAATGACACAGGACTTCAAAACAATAGGAAATCAACAATGGTTACTATAATGTCTCCTGCTGTCTTCAAAATAGCTGCAAATGGCCAGGGATCTAGCTCAGTGGTGTAAGTGCCTGCCTGGGAAGTGCAAGGTTGTGAGATCGATCCCTGGCGCCAAAAAAAAAAAAAAAGGAGCAGATACCTTCAGACATAGTAAAAATCAAAAAACAAAAACAAAACAAAACAAAACAAAACAGAACAGACTAGAACCAACAAAAACAAAACCATGAATGCAATGAAGGACTTCAAAACAAGATAATAATAAATCCAAAATGGCTGCCATAATATATCTTATCTTTGAAATAGCTGCCCATGCCATCAGATACAATAGAATCACACAAAGCAGAACAAAACACAAACCAACAAGACAATGAAAATGATAAAGGACTTCAAAACAAGATGTCAGGGAATCAACAATGACCATCACCCTCAGAAGGAGCTCCCCCATAGATGCTAAACTGAGTATTGCCATCCTCTGTATAGAAGATCAAAACACTGGCTTTAGACCCACAAAAATCAGTGAAATACTAAATACTACAAGCATTAAATTGCAATAGCCATCATCACAGCCTGTGTTTCTCTGGATCAGCCAGTTGCTTACAGTGCAGGGGATGGCGGGGCGGGGGGCACTCTTCTTGTTTCCCAGCCCACATGCCAAAAGGGGCTGGCATCTGGCTCCCCACAGAAGCCCATGCACAGTGCTGACTCCCAGGGAGGGCTTGCTTCTTGTTCTCTTTCCCCATCTTAACGGATTAATTTTTGAGTCAGGGTCTTGCTGTATTACCCAGGCTAGCCTCCAATTTTTGATCCTCCTGCCTCAGCCTCCTTCAGCACCTGAGTGCTGGGATTTTGGGTATATGGCACCCCACCCAGTTAGTGTCATTTGCTAAAGACTGCATATATGCTTTGTTTGGTGGTTTATTGTTGGTTTCTGATTTTTCAGAGAAATAAAGCATCTCATTGTTTGCTAACATTTATTTGACAATATTGGACATCAAGCATTTATCAACTTTACTTTTTTAGTACTGCATTTGTCAATTTAATAAATGTACCTGTGCATTTATTTTCTGAGAATTGGTGCTTGAAATCTTTTCTCTGTTTATTTCTTTGTGGCTTACTATTTTTCTTTTTTTTTTTTAAGGTTTTTTTTTTTTTTTTTTTTTTTTTTTTTTGGTCTTTTTCATTTTTATCGGTACCAGGGATCGAACTCACGACTGCCTGCTTGCAAGGCAGGTGCTTCTGCCGCTGAGCTAAATCCCCAGCCCCATGGCTTACTATTTTTCTTACAAGGTGACATGAGTTTTTTACCCACATTTTATTTCCTCAAATTCATATCAAAAAATATACATTATGTCTCATTTTTTGCTTGACAGGTTTTTGTATTTTTTATTTATTTAATGTTTTATTAGTGTTTTTTTTTTTTTGTACTGGGGACTGAACTCATGATTGTGTGCTTGCCAGGCAGGCACTTATGCCACTGAGCTAAATCCTCAGCCCATATTTTTGTATTTTTATGCAACCAAATCAAACCCTATGTGGTTTCTGTTACTTCTTTTAAGCGCAGACCATGCCCTTCCAGAGCTGTGATGGCACTTTGATTTTCTCGTAAAATATTTTGGTGATTTCTTTTTGCTCAGCTTGCATTTTCTAAAAGTAAAATGAAAAGGCAGGGAGGGCATAGAGGATTTGTGGGACAGTGAGAATATTCCACGTGCTGCTGCAGCCGTGGATATATGTCATTATGCAGTTGTCAAAAGCCACAGAATGGACCGGGCATGGTGGCACACTGCCTGTAATCCCAGCACTTGGAGGTGAAGTGGGGGGTTGAAGTAGGAAGATCATTGTGCATTTGAGTCTGAGCTACATAGTTGTAGGAAACAATTTGAGTGACTCCCCTTGAATATAGAATAATTGCTGCAACCTTAGTTAAATGGAGTCTTACTTCCACATACTGATGTGTACAGAGCGGGCTATGCGATTCCCTTCTCCTTTCAATTGGCTCTAAGTGGTGCAAGTAAGGCCAGCTGAGGTACTAATACGGAATCTTTTAGGCCAACCAACAATTTTGTTTCCTTTCCTGTTTCCTTGCATTGTGTTCCTTGAATAGCGGTTGAATGTAGCTGGATGATAGAGCTACTTAGCTCCAGAAACGTCAGCTAGATACGAGTCTCAAAATAAGAGGCTATGACTATCCAGGGCACAAAATTTACATATCAGAAACTGAAGCACAGCGTCCTAAATTCATTTATTTGCTCTCCCAATCAAGGTATGCAGAGTGGTCTTTCTGTGTATCTCCTTGCACATTACAAAAATGCTTTTCTCCTCACCTGGCACATAGTTCCCACCACCATCACTGTCACTCATCCCCAGCCACCCCTTCTGTACAAGATAATGAATTATGGGAGAGGCCTTGGATCAAGGTCTTTGTATGTATATCCTCACTGGCCTTGGCTGCCCATAACTTTGAATATGTCTTGGTGTCTTTACTCTCACTTTGGCTTGCATTGGAGGTGGTAGATTGGAATTAACTTGCTGGGATTCCAATAACATTCCAATGGGATTACAAATACACTTTCCGAATTACGAGGAAGATTAGAAAAGGGATTATAATACTTGGATTACAGTAGTCAATATTCAGATTACAATACATAGTGACATTCTATCTCAAAAAATACAGAATAGGGGCTGGGGAATTAGCTCAGCAGCATATGCATTTGCCTGATGAGCGTGAGGTTGTGAGTTCAATCCCAAGTACCAAAAACAACAACCACACACACACACACACACACACACACACACACACACACACAAAAACCACCACAGAATGCAAGAGGGAACCTAACAAAAAGTATGGCCTTTAGGTGGCAAGAGTGTCAACAGAGCCCACACATTGATGCTAAACAATGTGCCACGCTGGTAAGGGGAGGGAGCACTGGATATATGGGAACTCTGTACTTTCTGCTTTCTCAGAAAAGAAAGCTATGAGCCTAAAACTTCCCTAAAATATAAGATGTATCCATTTTCCCAAAAGTCAAAACTATTAGGCTGTGTGAAAAAACATTAATAATGTATTTTTATCTTAATATATTTAAAATAGCACATCAACATGTAATCTCAATAGAAAAATTAATGAGTGAAATATTTTCTTTTCTTTGGAGTTAAGTCATTGTAATTTGGTTTATATTTTACAGTCACAGCTCATCTCCACACTCACTAGTGAGGCAGCACCTTTCCTGGGCTCAACAGCTACCCCTAGCTGAGGCAGTTCGGTCATCTCAGAATCAGGGCTTAGTTTGACCCCTTGGGAGCACGGAGGGAACCCGTCTCCTTGGCTTGTTTTCCTGGCCCCTTCCCTAGTGACATCAGCCCAGCCTGCAGCTGTCCTGGGCAGCCACCTCCTCCACATTCCTTTGCCTGCCGTCCACCCAGGAGTTCATCATTTGGGCCACCCCAGAATCCCCACCCCTGGTGACACCTCAATAATAATAATAATAATAATAACAATAATTACACAACTATCTTGCTGGAAGCCAGTACTGTGAAATGCCAGGTATTCTGCTGACCCAAGGAACACCATGTTTTCCATTCCTGCCCAACATCTCCAGGGCCAGAGCTATTTGACACATGGAGCTGAGCTACCAGGCAGAGAGCACTGACCAAGCCCAGCCTGTGTTCCAGAACAGGAGTACGGGGCTCATAAATATCCTCCATTTAGCATTTAGGAAACACTTGCATGGGTCCCTGGTAGTCACACACACACACACACACACACACACACACACACACACACACGTCCCCCTCCCGGGAGTCCTCTGGGGTGAGAAGGCCTGGAGGTGCAGCCCCTGTCCCAGTCTGGAGTCTGTGCCCCGGGACCTTCCTGCCCAAGGCAAGGCATGAAGAGAGCAGGGGGAAGGACCGAGAGAAGCCACAGCTCGGCAGGGCGGAGCAGGACAAGTGGCTCTAGGGTCAGGGCGGGACTGACACCTAACCTCGCCAGGCAAAACCCGGCGGCGGGGGTGGCAGCGACAGAGGCCAGCTGGCAGAAGAGCCCTGCATAGCTGCTCCCCGCACCCCTCTGCGTCCGCGGGCACCATGAGCGGCCGAGTCGGGGACCTGAGCCGCCAGCAGCAGGAGGCGCTGGCCAGGGTGAGGGGCTCGGCGACAGAGAGGGATGGGGAGGGGTCGAGCAGCCAGACACTGTCCCCCGCGCAACCCAGCCTGAATCCCCACGGAAGGACGGGGAGGTGGGGCCCGCCGCTACTCAGTGCCTCCAGCGGGACAGGAGCCCTCTGGAGGCCACGGGTGGCGGCGGTGGTGCTGGGAGTGGGGTGGGGAGAGGAGGGGCGGGGACGTGAATCCAGCCCCCAACCCGAGCCCTGGTCCTTGTTCCTGCCGGTGCAGCTGCCGAGGTCCGAGGTGACTCGTGACTGGGGCTAACAGATACGAAGAGCACCTAGAGTTCCACATTTGTATACTTTCTCTTACTGAAAGGTAGTTGAATACTTGTAGGGAATTATACCCTGGTGAAGGAAGGGGTCCTGGTGTTGCTGGGTTTGGGGGTGCTACAGTCTCCTTCTAAAGATTGTATGTGTTTTTTTTTTTTTTTTTTTTTTTTCTGTCCTGAACAGAAAATTTGTCAAGACAAGTTTAAAAGGTAGAGGAGTTTTACGTTTATTAAAGGTTGGAAAAGAAATATGCTTTGCAGAGCAAGTTTGGGCCCAGCAAGTAGGAAAAAAAGTGCACACTACAGGAGAAGACGGGTCACAGTGAGAGCACTCAGTAGTCACAGTTCACTGTTTACAGAGTGTAGCGGTGCCTGCCTGTAATCCCAGTGCTCAGGAGGCAGAGGCAGGATTGCCATGAATTCCGGGCCAGCCTGGGGTACACACTGAGTTCAAGGCCAGCCTGAATCACAGAGTGAGACTGTGTCCAAATAACAACAAACCTCAGTGTGGACTGTCTTTTTTGTAGCTCCCACTCTTCAGGCTGATATCAGGTCTAGGTCATCCTATCCCAAAATACTCAGGTCCTTGCTAGAAGTCCGAAGGCAGGGCTTTGGGAATTGCTCCTGGGGATTTTGTAACTAACACATCTCACCTTACTTCCCTAGTCTGCCTGCCACTCCCTATTTCCCTGCCTCCTTGGGACTGTATTCAGGGAATTTGGGGACTAGAAAAGGGTCTGCAGGTGAAGGAGGGTCCTCAGTGAAAAAGAGAAGTGCCCAGGTGATGGGGCGGGTTCAGAGGGCCCCCAGTTCAGAGGGCTCAGGTGAAGGAGAAGACATCCTCCGGTGAACCCTGTTCCACCCCTCTAGGAAGCCCCACATATGAGGTGCATAGGAGACAGCACACTTGGTCCTTGAGGGTGCATTAGGGTGGAGATGCCCATGGGACAGAGCTTTAAACCATGTGAAAATATTTTACTGTTTGTTTGAGACAGGGTCTAGCTGTGTAGTTCAGGCCAGACTTGAACTCACCGTGTTACCCAGGCTAGCCTCGACTTGCAGCAATCCTCCTCCCTCATGCTAGGGTTATGAACATGTGTTAGTTCCTACTTTTCCTTTCCTTTCCATGGTACTGGTGACTAAATCCAGTGACACTGCTGCTGAGCCACATCCCTAGCTCTTTGTGCTTTTTGAGATAGTCATTTAAGTTGTCTTGGAGGGTCTCAAACGTGCTTTCCTCCTGCATCAGCCTCTTTTCAGTGCAGGGGTTACAGGCATGTGCCACTGTGCGCAGCCTCTTTTCCATTATTTAAAAGTAATGCACCAGGTACGGTGATGCTCCCTGTCATCCCAACACCTGTGAGACTCAAGCAGGGGGATCTCAGGTTTAAGCTCACCCAGGCTGCATAGTGAGTTCAGGGCTCTTCTTGAAAAAAAAAAAGTAATAAATGTGTATTATTTTTAAAATGTCAGGAGGAGGCAGTGTACTGGGAGGTTATCATGGTCCCAGAGGTACAGACAACTATGCCCAGTAGCATTTTCTTCCAGATTCTTCCTGAGCTTAGTATTGACCGACTCTGGCCACACTGCCAGATGCTTCTCTCTCCATTTGGCATCATCCTAAAATGAGTTTTCTCTAAGATATTTTAGTTCCTTCCCTGCACCTGCTTGATGGGTTTTCTCTTTGACTTGATGAGCATTTCAAGGGCTGTGAGGCCCTCAAGGGCAGAAGACATGGATTCCTCCTGTCTTTGCTACTTTGCTAACCCAGGAAGATTCTCTACTTCGCCAGCCTCAGTTTCCTCATCTGAAAAGCAGGACTTTCACCCTTGCCCCTCGTACCTCAAGGCACATCCTGAAGTTCAAATGAAGGAACCCACTAACCTAGAAGGGCTGAGGGTGCAATATTTTGCTTCCCAGGGAATCCTGTCCCTCACAACACCTTAAAAAACTGTAGGTGCCTGGAGGCTACCAGAACCTCCATTCCTGGTCCCCATCCCGTCCCAGATTCATGTAGCAAATGCTGGTTAACACTGGAGATGTTTAAGCTGATCATTTCCTTTTAATTATGTAAGCAGATGTGACTGCATCCTTATTTTAAACATAAGCTAAACGAGGTTTAGTGGATGACCAAGACCACTCCCTATGGCTTTGCTTATATCTGTTTTCCTTTGCAAAGTCCAGTTCACATGATCACCCACAAACACAGCCCTTGCCTTCAGGTCCCTCAGTCCCATAGAAATGAGGTCTCCTCTTTTTCCCAGACTTGAACTTTAGTTTCAGTCAGTAGCTAAAAGCATCCCCAGTTCGCAGAATGCTGTCTTTCTTCCAGACCCCCAAAGCTTCTCTTTCAGTCCCTCTCTGCTTACTTTGCCTCTCATTTTGTCCTCAAGGCTCTAGTCCACAGGATTCCATGTAGGCCACGTTAGCCAAGTGACGGCCCATAGGTATCTGGCATCTGCTTGGAGCCAGGTCCAATGCTAAGTGCTTTATGTACATATATTTCTTTGATTGGCCCAAATTTATCTTTATGCAGATGATAAAATTTTACAGATGAGGAAAATGAGGCTCAGAGAGGTTAAGTAACTTGCTTCCAAATCCAGACCCCAAGATATCGTGTTATCAAGGGCAACATTCCTAAAACATTTAGCTGGCTTGTATTAGAATCACTCAGGGATCCTTGTAAAAGTAGAGACCAAGGCCTTGCCTCAGACTTGTGGGATGACAGTCCTGGGAGTCAGAGCACTCTCAAAGGTTGACAAGGGCCCAGTTCTTCTTTCTCCAGTGGGCTGGAAGGTGCCTCACTCCCAGAGGACAAAATGGCTCAGTGCAAGCGCTGTGTGGTCTTCAGCCTGCAGGTCGGCCTGATTGGCAGATGAAAGTGGGAAGGGCTAGGGATAGGATTGATGGCCCAAAGGTCACAAAAGCCCCTCTCACCATCATATCCCCCTCCCATTAGTTCCAGGAGAATCTCCAGGACCTGCTGCCCACCCTGCCCAAGGCCGATGACTACTTCTTCCTGCGCTGGCTCCGAGGTAAGAGGACAGGGGTTGGAGGAGGCAGAGCGGGAAGAGAATAGGTGGCCTGGGAGAGGGGGTAGGAGGCTATGGGGATGGGGGACAGTACTGCAGAGAAAGAAAAGGCTCTGCATCCACCTGTCCCTGGGCTGGACTCTGAGTCAGGATTTCCACTGAGCCTTAGTTCCTTCACCTGTAAAATGACCACGAGTCAGTCACTAGGAAGGCAGAGGAGAGGAGAGGTTAGGGTTAAAGCCTGGGAAGTTATCTCTCAGGAGCTCACCGGCCTTGCCTTGGTCCGATAGGCTGAGCCCTGGCTGTGGGACTTGCCTTTGCTTCTACCTCCAGTTCCCTGTGGACAGGCTGTCTCATCACCCTAGGAAACCTACTGGGACACTGAGAGGTGACCAGCAAACACTTAAAGAAGTGGCTTCAATGCTGGGCATGGTAGCACACACCTCTAATTCTGGCACTCAGGAGGCTGAGGCAGAGATTGCCATGAGCTCAAGGTCAGTCTGAGCTACATAGCGAAACCCTGTCTCAAAAAATAGAAAAAAGTTAAAAAAGCAAAAAAGAAAGGAAAGAAGAAGTCATTCTGGAAGTGGATAGGGTATGGTTTAAAAGGCTTGTAGTCTGCCATACAGCAGACTTGTGATTGAATTCCAGGTCTAGTGTGCATTAACAGTATAGCCAGGGTAATTTACCCTTTGTCTCTCAGCCTCACTCTCCTCTTCTGTGTAATGGGCATAATATCAATCTTACATTTGGGGCTCTGTGCATCAAACAGGAAGTCAGAGATACGCACAATGCCATGTGAAGAAAGCACTCACCTGGGGGCTCATGCTTCCATTCTGGTTGTTCTATCTGGTTTCTTTGTTATTTTTTGCAACAAACTTTTTTCCTTCCATAGTGGAAATTGAACCCAGGGCCTTTGGACTGAGCTATAGCCCCAATCCTTTATAATTATCATTATTATTTTTAATTTTGAGACAGGGTCTCACTAAATTGCCCAGGCAGGTCTGAACTTGCAATCTTCCTGCCTCAGCCTCCCAGAGCACTGGAATGACAGGTGCATATGACCGTGTTTGGTTATTTTTTTGTTTGTCTGTATGGTTATTTTTATAACTTTTTAAAACTAATTTTAGATTTTCAGAAAAAGTGCAAAGATAAGTATAGAAAGTTCTCGTTACATTCTACCCAGATTTCCCCCTTTAAAATCTTACACTTGCATAGTACATTTGTCACGATTAACAAGCCAGGAATAGATGTAGTATTGGTAGTAGCACTAATAGTAGCTGTATAGTATTAATAGTAATTAAAGCCTATATATTATGTAGATTTCAAGTTTTTTCATACCCAGATCCTATTCAGGACAGCACAGTAGTATGTTTAATCATCTCGTCTCCTTAGGATTCATTTGGCAGTGGCAGTTTCCTTTTTTTTTTTTTAAAATAAGGAAGCATAGTGTTCACTGCCTAGGCTGTGAAGTCCCTCAAAACAGTACGTGTGTCCTGGTTCACTTCTCACCACCATAACACAGTACTCACCAGAGGGCACAGGGCATCACATAGAAAGAGGCAGGGCACAGGCACGTATGTACCTCTCTCCTGGCCTCTCTCCTGGTAAAGGGAACTTTATTCTCATGACCCCATCTAATCCTGATCACCTCCCAAAAACCCTGCCTTTACATACTATAATTAGATTAAGTCCCCACCCTTTTAATACCTCACAATGGAGATTAAATTTCAACCCCCGGAACCTTGGGGGACTCACACAAACCACAGCATAGATCTTTCTGGGTTTAGAGAAGTGCATCTTTCGTAGAGAAGTGCGATCACAGATCCCTTATGTGCATGGTCACAGAAAAGGTGGAGAGGGGACCTTTCCCTTTATGCCGTGGGTGACATGCTGCTCAGCCAGCCCCATCCTCCTCATTCACAGCATGAAGGAAAAGCAGCTCTACCACTCCTCGCCTCATCAACTCAAGGCACAGGAACAGGAGGCAATGGAGGCGCCAGGCTTGGAGAAAGCTGCTCCTCAGGCCTGGTGAGGAGGAGCCTTCCCTCTGTGCGCCTATCTGTCCCGCATCTGGGTTCCTCTCTCCCCTCAGATGCCAGCTCCATAAGGAATGACTGTGCCTTCCCAGCCCCCCAGCATGGCACATGATTGGTGCTACCAAAAACTCTATTCTCATATGCCATCGTCAGGGCCCAAACACCTGCCCATCCACAGCACGAAAGACCACACTGTTTCTAAACTTAAAAACTATAGATACTGAGGAGGTTTTTAAGAACATCCAATAGAAGACTACTATGAATATTTATGTACTAGTAAATTTGAAACCCAAAATTAAACTGATACATGCCTAGAAAAATATGTGCAACACTACAAAACTTTGATGGGCTAGGGATGTAACTCAGTGGTAGAGCACTTGCCTAAGCGTGGGCAAAGCCCTGAGTTCAATTCCTCATACTGAAAAAAAAAAAAAAAAGACTACAAGATCTTGAGAAGAAAGAGAAAGTTTCAACAGAGCAATAAATAGTAAAGAACGTTAAACAGCAGTAAAAACCTCCCCTCTCCCAACACTTAGACTCCAATGACTTTACAGATACATTTCCCCAAATTGTTAAGACCAGTCAACTGCTATCTTACACAAAGTATTCAAATTGCTTTAGGATAGAGTGAAAGTTGCCTTAAAAGACTTGGGTAACTTTCATTATTCCAAAGATAGAGCAGGACAGTGGAAGAGATAGATGGAGAGAAAAAGAAGAAAAGTCTAGACCTGTTTTACTTATTGCTATGGTTGTAAAGAAATCTAAATAAAGCTTTTCATGATAGAACTCAGACAAGTATTCAAATTATGTATGTTATCAAAGAGGGTTTATATTGGGTGTGCAAGAATAGCTCAACATTAGAAAATCTGTCACAAAAGAAAAAATAGAAAAATCCGTCAGTATTACTTAAATCATTAATAAAGTCAATAAATTATGTGGCTATCCATTAATGCAGAAAAAGCATTTGTAAAGCTTCAAATTCTATTCATAAAATAAAACAAAAAATCTTAGCAAAGTACAAATAGGAATTTCTTTGGTTCAGTAGTGATTATGTAGCAAAAATCTAACAAATCTTACTGCTAAAAAGAAATTTTAGAAGCATTTTATTAATATCAGTAACAAAGAAAAGATGACATCAATCAATATTACAATTTAAACATAGAACTAGAGACCTTTGCCAGTGCTATAAGAAAAAAATTAGCAGTACAAAGACAAAAAAGGAAATCTTTCCTCAAAAAACAAAAGATCAATAGAAACACTAAAGAAAGAAAACGAAAAAAAAAGCTCATTAATGCTGCCAAATACAAAATCCATAGGATTTTTCTTTACAGCAGAATCTAACTGTAAAATAGATTGAAAACATGGATATTATTCAAAGGAGCAATGAATAGAGCCTAGGAATTTCCAAAGGCTTAACCTAAAACGCAGGAAAAAAAAGTCTTAAAAGTCACTGTTCAATTTGTAGCCGCTAGGCACATGCAAGTATTTAAATTAAACTAAATTAAATTAAAGCTTCAGGACCTCTGTCACGTAAGCCATCTTTCAACTGCTCAGAGCCACAGACAGCTACCAGCTGCCACATCAAACAGCTCAGAGACAGAGCATCCCTGTTGGACACAAGTGAAAGATCAGCCAGTAAACTTGATGGCTTATCCTCAAATATTTGCGGAGGTGCCCCATTGACAAGCAGTGACATATATTTAGAACTGGAATCATTGGGAGGTAGATTCGGGCTCTAGCTACCGAAGATCGGAATGGGCTGCCCGCTTACATGGTGAAGCCCCTGGTATAGGAGGTAATCAAGGTTGAGCTGGTGGCCTCGTGGTTATTTCTGGAGTGGCTCATGATCAGAGTAGCAGGAGGCTGGCTAAGCATCTCAGGTCCTTTCTACTTGAAAATCTCTGGTCTTGCATTCATTGTAGGCCCATCAATGAACAAATTTGACAGTGAGCCAGCAACAGTCAGATAGCACTTGTAAACTAGAGTAAAGCCATATGTAGTGTTAAATGCTTGAAGTCCCAGCTACTCAGGAGGCTGAGGCAGGAGGATTACTTGAAGTTTGAGCCCAAACTGGGCAAGACCACATCTCCAAAAATAAATAAAATAAAGTATTGCGTTTTCAATTCAAGTGTATCTGTATCTTTGAAAATAAGTAATCACATTAGCTACCATTTATTGAGAACTTACTGTGATTCATGTACTATCCCAAGTATTTTGTATATATCATCTCCTTTGAACACTGATTATATAAAGATATAATTCCCATTTAATATATTTTTAAAAACTAAGGCTCAGAGAAAGTAAGTGATTCATTTAAGGTTGCACAGAAAATAAAAAAGCAAAACTAGAATTCAAGCCCACGTTCATCTGATTCCAAGAGCCGTGCTCTCAGCTCCCCCGACACTGAGGAAGTCTCTGCTATTGAATATCACAGACTCGATCAGCCTCTAGAATGAACAGCTCTAAAGGTCTGGGAACAGAAATCCAGGGCCCTCCAAAGTCTTCTAGAGGAGTAAAGATCTTTACTGTTAAAAACATTCCAGACTACCCCCAATGTATTCTTGGGGTGTCAGCAAAAGACTGGGGGCCCTCACTAATTCCTCCCTAGATTTCAGGGACTGGCTCTTTCCACCTTTGACCTTGGCCTCCTCTCCCTTGGCCATCCTCTCTTTCTTTCTTGCAGCTCGGAATTTTGACCTGCAGAAATCAGAGGACATGCTCCGGAAGGTGAGGCCCCACACGGCCAGGGCTCCTCCTCCTGCACACTATTCCCTGGGTGACAGTGCCAAAGGAGCCCGTTCTCTGTTACTTCTTCCTTCTTCCCTGGGGTCCCTTCTGTGTCAGACCCGAGCCTTGCTGGAGCTCTTCTCCTGTCTCCATCCTCAGTTTCCTGTGGTTGGAGCCTGGGGATGTTCTGGCAACGTCTTGGTGGCTATGGGCACTGGGGCCTGACCTGCATTCCCAGATGCCTGTAGAGGCCTTTGGGGCAGGCGGTGTTCAGGTCCTGCTGTGTCTCTATAGCACGTGGAGTTCCGGAAGCAACTGGACCTAGACAACATCCTTGCATGGCAGCCTTCAGAGGTGAGCCCACGGAGCACCCCAGACCATCTATGTCCCTTCTTTTGCCCCTCTCTCCTTTTGTCCCCAGACACTTGATGAAACAGGGAGACCCTGCCTGGGTGGGCTGGTCTGAGTCAGAACCTACCCATGTGCCCAGGTGATCCGGCTGTACGACTCGGGCGGCCTGTGTGGCTATGACTACGAAGGCTGCCCCGCTTGGTTTGACATCATTGGAACCCTGGACCCCAAGGGCCTCCTCCTGTCAGCCTCCAAGCAGGACCTCATCCGAAAGCGAGTCAAGGCCTTGGAGCTGCTTATGCATGAGTGTGAGCAGCAGACTCAGAAGGTGAGCGAGCTGCTTGGCGGGGAGGGCTGAGGTACATGGCAGACCTGGTCTGTCCGCCCTGTCCCTGCACCTTTCCCCAGCTCACAGCGCTCAGGGCCCTGGTGGACAGTGGCCTTCTTCTGCCATTACTGCTTCCTGCACATCTTAATGTCTGAATGCTGCTCTCTGTTGCCATTGGGTCCAGAGTCACCAGTGTCCTTTCCTATCTACGTAAGCAACTGACCCGGGTATAGGAAAGGCGCTAGCTCTGGTGCCCAGGGAGCCTGGGAATGGTGGACACTCAGCTTTGGCTTGGAAAAGATAACCCACCACTGCTTGCTACGTGACTCACTTCCCCATTTGATCCCGATTCAATCAATTTTACCTGAGCAATCACACTTTAATCTTATTGCTTAACCATAGTTCTGTCCCACCTCAGGCCCACCTTGTAATTTCCCCTTTTTTGCCCACCATAGACTGTGAGCAGCAGTCCTTGTGGTTTTTCTCTGTAAAACTCCCTAGAAAAGGCGGGGTCTCTGGCAATCCACTCAGGAACCCCTGTTTCTCTCTCTTTCAGACAGAAGCTTTCTTTCTCTCAGTAAATATATTCTTGTCTTAAAAATGATAACCCACCATTGTAAAATGCATAGTTACACACATTGATGAGCACGCCATTACCCTGGAATTAGGTGCACACAGTGATAGCAAACCTGTTAGAGCTTTCAATGATAACAAATAGCTCGCTGAGGCACACATGCCATAGGTTCGCTACCACTGTCCTAGAAACTTCTAGGGAGTTCCAAAATTTTTTTTATTTATGTATTTTTTTCCCAGAGTTGGTATGGCTGAGAGGTAGAGTGCTTGCTTGCCTAGCTTGTGTAAGACCCGATGAGTTCTAGCCCTAGTACCACAAGAAAAAAAAATAGCCCTAAGGAGCACAAGACATATGAGAAGGGCCCTTTTTTAGATTGCCACCTCTTTCCCCTGACCTGCACCCTGACCTTCTGCATTAGATTGAATCTAATGTCAAGTCTCACCTTGCTGGTTTTACAAGTCTACAAAGATGACCTTCTCATGGAGTTGAGATGTTGCTATGTGGCATGATTTGTTTGTTTGTTTGTTTTTTGAAGTAGGGGCTCACTCTGTAGTGTGGATTGGCCTTGAATTAATTTAAGTAGCCCAGGCTACCCTCAAACTCATGGCAATCTTCCTGCCTCAGCCTTGCGAGTGCTGGGATTACAGATGTGCACCATCATGCCCAGCTGTGGCATGATTTTGTTGAACACAAAATCAACTCTTAGTAGAGACTTGTGACAGGTGTGAGTACGTTGCAAAGTGTTGCATTTAGGGCCTGCTTTGAACAGATATACGTCTCTCCATCGGGATGGTTGACTTTTTTTTGAGATAGTGTTTCATTATGCAGGTCAATTCAGGCTGACCATGAACTCACTTTGTAGCCCAGGCTGGCCTCAGACTCTTAGTGATCCTTCTGCCTCGGCCTTCCAAGTGCTGGGATTACAGCATATGCCACCATGCCCAGTAACATATCTGATTTCACAGAGTTGATACAATGTCTTTTACCTCATGAATGGTCTCACTAGAAGGCAATAATTATGGAAGATCCCCTTTACAGATTTCCACCCCTTTCCCCTGAGCTGCACCCTGACCCTCTGCATCCCTCAGATTGAATCTAATGTCAAGTCTGTCAATATAATCTGTTAATATTTACCAGGAACTAGCCATGTTCCTAGCACTTGGTTATTTGTGCATCATGTTATTGAATTGTCATAGAAATTCCATGAGAACCTACAATTATTCCCATTTTACAGAGGAAGAAACTAATGCTCAAAAATGTTAAAATCCTGCTCATTACCACACAGCCTGCCAAAAGTGTGGCTCTGGCTTGGACACAGTTATAGGACTACAGAACAATATAATGCAGTCAGCTGTTTGTATATGTGGGTTCCACAGACTCAACCAATTATGGATAGAAAATATTCAGAAAAAATGAATCTGTGCTGAACATACAGATTTTTTCTTGTCATTTGTCTGTAAACAATACAACAACTATTTACACAGCATTTGCATTGTATTGCTCTCATAGCTAATCTAGAAATGGCAAGGTATGTGTGAGATTGTTCACAGGTTATGTACAAATGTTCTGTCCTTATATATGAGGGATTTGAACATCTTTAGACTTTGTTATCTATAAGGGGTCTTGGAACCAATCCTCCATAGGCACCAAAGGACAACTAGATACTATCATACATCAAGATGCCCATCGATCTAGGCATAGTGACACGTGCCAGCACTCAGAGTCAGAAGCAGGAGGGTTGCGAGTGCAAGCCTAGCCTGGACAACTTGGTGAAACCCCATTTCGAAAGTAAAAAAACAAAAGAAGGAAAAGAAAAGGGCTGTGGATGCAGCACAGTGAGTGTGAAGACCTTGAGTTCAATCCCTAGTACCTCCACCATCATCACCAAAAGAAGAGTCCAGTGAATAATGTCTTTAACTATGTAGTTAACTTCTCCCAAGAAAAAATGTTGCACAAGCTATGATAACGCATCAGGAATCAATGGACCATTCCGGGCTCAGAGGCAGCATCCCCTCTCAGACCCTAGATGGGCTCCCTCTGTTTGGGAAATGTGAGCTGCTACAGCGGGTGGATAACAGGGGAGTGGACGCAGTGCCTGAGTCTCTCCGGCCAAGATCTCCAGGAACCTTGGTATGAGCACTCCACCTGCTGTATTCCACACAGCTGGGCAGAAAGATCGAGACAATGCTGATAGTGTTTGACATGGAGGGGCTGAGCCTGAGACACCTGTGGAAGCCAGCTGTGGAGGTCTACCAGCAGGTAAGGCAGGCACCTGGCTCAGGGTTGGAGCAGGAACCCCACCCACTCCAACCCCCACCTCCTCCCAACCAGTAGAGAACTGAAGCCCACACCAACTTTTGTGGCCTATGGAAAAGAGATGGCACCACAGATGCCAGCCTGAGGTCCACTCATCTCCCAAGGAGAAAGAGGGACCAGAAGAGGGCACACATGCTCTGCTGGTGGGAAGGTAGGGTAGGCTGGGACTGAGGCTCTTATTTCAGCAGCATCAGAAGCACAGAAGCCTGGCATAGTGGCACCTGGCTGTATCCCAGCATTGATCACAAATTTAAGCCCAGCCCGGGCAACTTGGTGACTTAGGGGATTCCTGTCTCAAAATTTAGAAAAATTAAATTTAAAGGTCTGGTAGCTCAGTGCAAGGATTCTGATTCAATCCCTAGTCCCTACCCCTGCCCCCCAGGCACCGAAAAACAAATGCCTCAGAAATCCAGGGGTGGGTGAATTCTGGAGAATAACCACAGCCAGTCTCCTCCTGATTTCACAGTTTTTTGCCATCCTGGAAGCAAATTATCCTGAGACGGTGAAGAACTTAATTATTGTTCGAGGTGAGCCCACGACCTGCATGACCCCCTGGGGGAGGCTCGGGATGCAGGGACAGTGGGTAAGCCTTTGAACCCATGGTTTCTCACACTATCCTGGACTTCTGTTAGCTTGGATTTTGTTTATGTCTTCAGTTGCAGTCCTTCGCAGACTGATACTTTGCAATATGTAGTATGCAGAATCCCACATTGGCGTATTGCAGTAATATGGAAAAATTCCTAAATTTCTAAATGTTCACTTATTTCAGCTTGGAAGAGTGACAGGCAGTCCATGGACTGCATGTAGAATGAGCAACCTTCGAGCAGGAATAGTGTCCATCTTGGATGGCTATGTAGTCAGGGGTTGTCCTGTATGCCCTGGAGTTACATGATCTGGCTTCAGATGTAGCTAACTCTATAACTTCAGTGAGTTTATTTTACCTCACTGGGTCTCAGTTTTCCCATTCTGTGAAATGGCAATACACAGTCCCCATAGAGGAGCGAGGAGGTTAAATGAGATGGTCTCTGAAGATGTGGCACAGATCTGGATCCACAGAAAGTGCCCAGTGAACATAGTGCTTCGCAGTGGGACAGGTCTAAAGAAGACCACCATCTGCCTGCACCCAAGAAGGTCCCAGAGATGCCTGGAAAAATCTTGAGTGTGAAAAGGAAGAAGTACCACTGGGAAAACAACATTGCCAACACTATATCCAGCTCGTGCCCACCACCTTAAAACATGAAGGGTTACAGCCATTTATTGAGAGCCAAGCACAGTGCTAATAGTTACACATACATTATTTCATCTCCATTTTATTTTATTTTATCTTTTGGTTTTTTGAGGCAGGGTCTCACTATGTAATTCATGCTGCATTTGAACTCCCTGCATAGCCTAAGCTGGCTTTGAACTCACAGCAATCCTCCAGCCTCAGCCTCCTGATTGCTGCGTTACAGGCATGCACCACCATGCTGGCTTTCATTTGATGTTTTTGAGTTAATGACACTAAGATTCAGAGATGGTGAATCACTAGCTGAAGGTCACACACAGGGAATGGCAGAAGACAGACAGGCAGAAGACAGACACCTATCTCGCCCATGCCCTTGGCTCTGTATATCCAAGTTCTCCTTGTCCACATGCCTGGGGGAATTTCATGTGTTTCAGCCCCTAAGCTTTTTCCAGTAGCCTTCAACTTGGTCAAGTCTTTCATGGGTGAGGAGACACGCAAGAAGATAGTGATTCTGGGAGGTGAGTGATTTGGCCTCCTAGCAAAGCCCATCTCCCTGTCAACCTAGCAGGCAGAGGTCAATGCTAAAGGCCCCATTTCTGCCTGGCTCATGCTCTTAACCAAGTCACTAACCCTGACCTAACTCTGGCAGCTTCTGCACCCAAGAGTGACGCTTCCAGTCCTAGATCAGAACCTGGAAGCCATGTAAAGTTCTTGGATACTCTTAAGAGTAGATTCCCAGGGTAACAAGCCAGAGACTTATCAGGTCACCTCCAAGGCTCCCTATTGATCTCCCTGAGCTCCTTGGAGGCCCCTTTGCTCCCATACAGACAACTGGAAGCAGGAGCTCACAAAGTTCATCAGCCCTGACCAGCTGCCTGTGGAGTTTGGAGGCACCATGACTGACCCTGATGGCAACCCCAAGTGCCTGACCAAGGTATAGGAGCCCAGAGGATGGGGAAGGAGACCACAGTGGCCTGGTGCCTGCTCACCCAGCATCACCCACAGATCAACTATGGGGGCGAGGTGCCCAGGAGCTACTACCTGCGAGAGCAAGTGAGGATGCAGTACGAGCACAAGGTGACTGTGGGCCGTGGCTCCTCCCAGCAGGTGGAGAATGAGATCCTGTTCCCGGGCTGTGTGCTCAGGTAGGGGCAGTGGCTACCCACACCCGGCACAGCGGGAAAGTGGCTTGGCGAGCCAGAGTAGGAGGTCACTGGGGCTCTGTTTGCTGCAGGTGGCAGTTTGCATCAGATGGCGGGGACATTGGCTTTGGAGTTTTCCTGAAGACCAAGATAGCAGAGCGGCAGAGGGCTGGGGACATGACTGAAGTGCTGCCCAGCCAGCGCTACAATGCCCACATGGTGCCAGAGGATGGGAGCCTCACCTGCCTCAAGGCCGGCGTCTGTAAGAGCTGCATGGTTTGATGGAGTTGTTTCTCTCTCAGGGCAGAAAAAAGCAGGCTGTCTCTTGCCTGACCAGCCACTCTGATGCCTTCTATTTCCAGCTCTCAGGGATCATGTAGGAGAAGGTGTGAGCTTTTAAAGCCATGGGCTCCAGGGGAGTTGGCTTCAGGGCCTTGGATCTGAAGAGTGGCCCTTGTGGATGGGCACAAGGGCTGAGACACATTGCAGAGGAAGAGCCAGGGGTTCAGTGCCCAGAGCCAGTACACTCAGCTCCTGGGAACCCCTCACACCAAACTCGTAAGGATTAAAGACAGGGAAATACACAGCACAGGCTTAGTGTTAAGAGTTTCCAGTTGCATGGCTCACCCCACTGCAGGAATCCTAAAGAGATGCCTCTGCAACCTGTTCATCATTTGTCCCCAGACCTCTTGGGCCACAAGCAGTTTGACCAGTTTTACCAGAAGCGGCATTGTCCAACATCTGTCAGTTTCCCACTGTTATAACAAAATGCCAGAGGTATTCAGCTTGTAAAGAAAAGAGGTTTCTTTTGGCACAGTATTAGAGGTTCCAGTCCCCATTGATTTGGGACCTGTGGTGAGGCAACACATCACAACTGGTGTTTGTGGCAGAGAAAAATGCTTACATTATAAGCCAGGAAGAGGAAGGGGCCAGATCCTCACAATCCTCTTCAAGGCACACCTCTAATGCCATAAGGACATGCCACATGGTCCTGCTTCTTAAAGACTCCACCATCTCTCAACAGCACTGCCTTGAGTCCCAAACCTTTAACATAAAGGCCTTTGGATCACATTCAAAACCTAGACTCTAGCACCCAGGAATCCTGCTGATCTTCCACCTGCATAGGGAGCAGAGCAAGGAGGTGGAAAGCCCAAGGTCAATTTGCTATGCTGACAGAAGGCACATGCTAAGTTGACACATTACATAGGCCAGCTTGTGGAAGGAGAGAACTAGGAGCATGGAGACAGAGAAGTCCAGGTGACTCACTGTGTCCCAGAGCCCACAGAAGAGCTTGGCTCTGTAGGAAACCCCTTCCATCCATGAGGTAGAAAAGTGGCTTTCCTCTGGAGGAAGTGGGGCCGCCCTCTGGAGTGGAGCAGCATGATAAGAGAATCCCAGTCTCTCTCTTTCCTTGCTCTGTGGTTACCTGAAAGTCATCATTTGTGTAAGCCTTGGCTTCCTCATCTATACAGTGAGTGTATTAGTCAGCTTTCTATCACTATAACAAAATACGTGAGGAAACTAACTTAAAAACAGAAATGGTTTATTTTGGCTCATGGGTCTGCAGGTTCCAGCCTAAAATCCAATGGCCCCATTACACTGTGCCTTTGGTGAGAGCAGCACATCATGGTGGGACAACACAATGCAGCAAAATCCACTTACATCCCAAGCCAGGAAGCAGAGAAAAAAGAAAGGAAAAGATTGGGGTCCCTAAGTCCTACAAGGGCACATCTCCAGTGAGCTAAGGACCTCCCAAAAGACCACCTCCTAAACTTCCTCCTCCTCCCATGGTGCCACTCTTGGACACCATGCCTTTCATACAAAGGCCTCTGGGGGATGCGTATCCAAACTGTGCAGTGGGGATGTTGCCTTCTGCCTGGGAGTCATGGCAGGCTGATGTAAAGCCCACTACATAGAATTGGCTTCCCAGCATGCTGCTGGGTCTCATGATCCTGGGTCCAGCCCAAGTAACATCCAGGAAGTGGGGAGTGAGCAGTGGACTTGTGCTGGGCCATGCTGACCCTCAGACCCACCTCGAGCCCTGGTTTGCCATTCCCAAGGGCTGACTAGCTCAGTTCTGGGCTTGTTCTGCTAATCACTTCTCTGTCCTCACAGATGTCCTGCGCTTTGACAATACCTACAGCCTGATACATGCCAAGAAAATCAGCTACACGGTGGAAGTGCTGCTCCCCGACAAGGCCTCTGAGGAGAAGCTGCAGGGTCTCAGTGCAAAGAGGCCCTCCGCAGCACAGTGAAGGCCTGGCCACCTCTGCACCTGCTCCTCCAACCCCTTGTCTGTCCCCTGGTGGCGCGAAAAGTGGCCTCAGAGATCCACTTACCCTGCATTGCCATCTTAGCCACTGTGTACACCCCCAGTTCCCATCCCACCACAGTGACCAAGCAGAAATGAGGACAGCCAGTGCTTAGGTCACCCTGAAGATTCAAAGGAGCACTTCCTCCCCTATTTCTAGAGAATGGAAATGACAGCAACCTTGAGGAGGACCCTGTGTTTACAGAGAAAGGCTTCTGCTTGCAGAAGCTGCCTTTGGGTCTTTCTGACAAGGTTAATGATCCACAGATCGTCCTGTTCCTGGTATCCCAGTTTGAGGTACATGAACCCCAGGCCCTTCAGGGACCCCAGCTTTGGGCCTGAGGAGCAGAGGCGTCTGGCAGGTCATGGGGCAAGATGAGGGTCCCAGTTCCAGCAGAGCTCGAGGTGTCTCCAAGGTTGTTCAACTATCTTCAGAAGGAAAAATCGGAAATGAGGTGGCAGTAATGCCATCACAGCATGCCCAGCCTTACACAGCTAACAGGCAAAAACAGTTTCCAGCGCCCCCTCCCTCCACACTGCTGGGGTCCTGCTGATGCTCAGCTGGGCTTCTTTCTGGCCTGAGTGGGGCCAGATCAACACAGAGCTAGAAGGAAGGGCTCAGAGCTGGGCTGCAGCATATGAGCTGCCACTTGTGATGCTTATTCTGGATTCTGACCTGATTCCTGGAGAACTGTTGAGCTTTTCCTCTATCTTTGTCTCCCCAAGAGAGTGGAAAGTTTGAGCAACAAGACCCAGGAGCTGGCAGATAATGGCTTCGCACATGGTTTTCAAAGGTTGGTCCTTCTGGTGTCTACAGCCATATTCAGGATGACCATAGAGTGTTCTTCGGGGTGGACTATACCCAGGACAAAGGACTTTGTCTGGGAATGAGCTGAAGAAATCACCATGTCTGAGCTGCTGGGTTGATTCCAGGTGGCAGTGAAGCCATCACCTGGGCCTGGGAACCCAGGCTGTGCTGCCCCATGCCTCCCCACTCTGCCCTGTGGCTGGACCAGGACAGTAGCCACCAGTGTCTCAAAAGACTTGTTCTCTGCCCAGGTACCTGAGCTCCCAGCTTGGGTTCATTAATTCTGCCCTCCTTGTTTATTCTGCCCTATTGTGCCAAAGGGCAAGAATCCTGTCCTTCACTCTGGCAGTGAGTGGTCAGATGTCCCTATAAAAGGGGTCCTTGCCTTAAAGTATCAACACCTTTGCTGCCAAAGATGCCTCCCAGAGGCCAGAAGCCTCAGTACACGTCACCTGTCCAGGGGCTTCACAAGGAAGAAACCAAGCTTCAACTACTTTCTGCTCCTAAATTCTGGGATGTCATTTTTGTTTTCCAGTTAATATGTGCTTTCTTCATTATCCAGGATACATTTTGGGGGAGAAATAATGAAGCATGGGAGGATGGAGGTCTTCTAGGCAGTTGCACAACCCTTGGGGCCACAGAAAACACACTCGACACCTAAAGCCATCCATGAGGTGTTCTGGTCCAACAAGGGGTTAAGCAAATTGGCAAGAGAAAAAAAAAAAGTAGACTGCTTGGAAACTGTCAGTCAAGAAGGTCAAGAATCACAAGATGTCCTCAAGTTGCAGGGCTGCCCCGTGTCTGAGATGTGACACATTTCCACCCCATTACACTGTGTGCTGTCTCCCTGCTGCCTCTCCAGGGCACTTGGGCTTCCCAGGGCTATGTTCCCACACTCTTTGCCAGGATAGAGGGAATGTGGTCAACTGGGATCAGGAGGGTCCTCTTGTTGCTTTCACTTAGCCCACCTGTCGCCGTGACAGGGACTTGAGAGACCTCAGTTCAGCCTTCCCTCCACCCTCGGTCTAAAAACCAGATTTCTGACCTTTGCCCTTCTAACCACTTGCAGCAAATTTTGTGTCAATATAACCTCAACCAGTTCCCTGGAAGGTCACAAAGATTGCTCTGTCCCTCGTGTATGGCTACCTGAGGCTCTCATCACACAAGGCATACAGATACGATTTGTCTGGAGGGTAGCAAGTAACAAGATGCTGGGAAGTGAGCACAAGGTCACCTTCAGAGGTAACAATAGTATCTCCTACCTGGCCAAAGAGGCAGGGACACACTGAGAGCTCAACAGGAGTATGTTCTCAGCAATTGCATTCTAATTTGGGAGGGGCCACTGGAGATGAACCTAGGACCTTTGCACTGACCTGCATCCCCAACCTTGTTTTTATTTTTAATTTTGAGATAGAGTTCACTAAGTCATTATTTCCCAGGCTAGACTTGAACATATGATATTCTTGCCTGAGCTTCCCAGAGAACAGGGATTACAAACATGTGCCCTGTGGCCCACCCACTCTTAATTATTAACACTGTCCCTTTTTTTACAATTGACATGGAAGGAGAGGAGGAGGAAAATTTTCTCAGAGAGGGGCACTGGCTTGTCCAAATTTCATTTCTTCATTCACTGCACTGCAGACCCCAGGGATACCAAGGACACTGGAATGACTCAACTTTGCTAACAGAAAACTGGCCCACACTGAAGGAGGCAGAAATGAATATAATAATCAAATGTACCTACCTAGCCAAGTGTGATGGCACATGCCTGTGATGGTGCATTCAGGAGGCTGAGGCAGGAGGATTGCTGCTAGTTCAAGGCCAGCGTCAGCTACATAGTGAGTTCAAGGTCTGCTTGGACTGCATAGTGAGACCCTGTCCCAAAAACATCAACAAAAATACACTTGCTGTCACCATGTGCATTTTGGGGGCCAATATCCAGCAAAGAAACCAGGCAAGGATATCAAATGAGCTTTGCCTAAGAGAGTGACCACTGAAGGAAGAGCTAAAGGATGTGTGGAGGTGTCCAAATGCTGCAGGAGTCTCACAGACTGAGAAATGGGGTGAGGGTAGCCAGGGAGTGTTTGGGGCTGTAGGACTGAAATACAGAAGGGCTTTCCTGACCCTGGGTGACAGTGGTAACAACTCCCTTGTCTGCTAATCTTCATAAATGACTTTGCACACATTAGATGGTTGTTAATAAAGCCATGATATAATGCAGGTTACAAATCAGCCATGTTGTTTGTCAGGAGAAAATGACAACATTTTGGCAAGAGGCCACAGATCTAAATTCTTGCTTAATGCGATATGCTAGAAATACCCAGGCCTCACCTCCCCACAGAATAGAGATGGGCCCTGCCCTTTCTAGCCCATTTCCTCTCAGAACTACCCCGTCTTTGATTGAAAGCAGGTGGGAGTCATACATGGGCCTTTTTATGACAGTTGGAAAAGGCTCCAAAAGACTTGTCCTCCAAGTCTCTACCCTAGCCCAGTTCACCTCCAAGGAATCCAAGTCAGGACAACACTGTAGAAGTCACTGGTGTTCAGGAGGACTCCATGGCACAGAACTCTACAATTTGCAGTCTCTTTTTCTTTCCATGCAATCCTGGAGTGGACAGGGATTGTAGCCCCACCTTACAGACCAGCAAACTGAGGCTCGGCAAAGGAGAATGCCTTAGCCAAAGCCTTGGTGCTCAGTGGAAGAACTGGAGCAGGCACCCAGGTCAGCTGCCAGCAGTGTCCCCTGCTCTGCATCTCAGGAGGAGGCTGAAGTGGGAATGTGGGTCCCTGACAGGAAAGGCTTTTCAGGGAGGGGCACACAGTAGGACAGAGGGAGCTGTGAGGTTCCTGGGGTGGAGGGAAGGCAGAGTCCAGAGAAGTTCCCCGGACATTCATGCCTTTCAATTGCATATGACAGTGCTGGCTCACACCTGCTCATCTTCTGGGTACCAGGCCCAAACCGAGGCAGGAAGCATCACCCTCAGCTTACAAATGAGGAAAGCCAGGCTCAGGACAGGAAGTGTTTTATCCTGCTACTCAGCAGTAAGAGGAGGAGGTAAGATGTGAACTTTAGTCCATTTGTGCAGTGTGAACAGAGAGCCATTAGGCTTGGTAAATTCAGAAGTTGCTTGGTCAGTTTGGAACCTTAGAGAGGCCCAGATGATATGGTGGCCTCTCCCTTCAGCCACCAGGGGGCAGTGCTGATCAGCCACCCCTCGGTCTCCTAGCTGAATGGACCTACTTCAGGAAAGGCCCCTTCACAAGTAGGGTGAAGTGGACAGACAAAACTTAACAGGTTCAGGCTGTATGAGGTGACTTGAAGTGGCAGAAAGAGGTGGTTCTATGATAGTTCAGACCTGGCTCTTTTTCTGGCTGTACTTCATCTTCAGCCCCCTGGCCACTGTCCTGTCAGGGCCTTCACTACCTCTGGTTTGGGTTGTTAGGAGTCCACGAGCCTCCTTGTGCCCAGTCCTACCCTCTCCCAGCCAGACCCTAAAGGGAAATCATAAAATTCTTTCTGAAGTGAGTCACATCCTCCCTATATGAGATCTCCACTGGCTCCCCCTTTCCTCCTGGGTGACATTAGACTCTTTGGTGTCTTGCAAGGCCCTCTGTGACTTGGCCAGCATACTCTGCTCCAGCTTCACCGGATGACCTGAATTTACTAATTCAGCAAGCTCCTCCCTACCTCCTTGCCTTGGTTTGTGCTTTGGTTCAGTCTGGGGCTCCCTCCATAAACCTATTTTCTATATACTCAAGACCAGTAGAGTCCTTCTCTGAGAGGCCTTCCCTGGGCCCCATCCTGATATGGACCCATCAGAGTCAAGACCCTTTCTACATATGATGGTACAACTGGATCAGCACGCATCACAGAACAGAGCCATCTACTGCCTCACATCTGTCTCCTGTTCACTCTAGCAGCTATCTCAGGCTGCACTTTGAAGGTGTTCCATAGAGCCTGGCAAAATAACAACAGATGCTATTTACTGAAGGTCTGCACAGATCTGTTGCTATAAACACTGGGGCTGTTAGCCCTGAAGAGCTCCAGAGACTAGCAGCTGCAAAGGGCAGGATCAGCCAACATCTAGCATATGCTAGTGACAGCTGGTGGCAGCAGAAATCAGCCACTGGTGGTGTTAACTAATGCTGTCTGTGATTAACTGTGTCAATTGGTGGCATCAGTGCTCAGACCTGTAACACTAATGGCTGGAAGTCATTGGCGGTCAAAGCCCAGAACTGGTTGCAGAGCTATACTTGGTTGATTCCAATCAAGCAACAAAACTCTCAATTGAGAGGCAACAGTTCCACTCTGCAGATCAAGTCTGTAACACAGGCCTTTGGGAGCTACTCATCAAACTCATAGTATCTTTCTTGGCTCAAACACTCCTGGAGATCAGATTATTCTAGGAGATAAGGTTGTACCAAAGGGCAGAATCTGACACCATAAACCAGAACCACAAAGAGACCTAAGGAATGAGTTAAGCAGAGCAGCCACTGAGCAGGAAAGAAGGAACTAGAAAAAAAATTAACTTACCTAGCTGTGTCTTAGTGCTGGAGGTGATGGAAGACTGGGCGACTGACCCAATTACAACAGCAAAAGCCAACACAGTTGATGTCTTACTATGTGCCAGGAGATGGGCAGGCACCTTCCTGGCTTCTCTACTGGCCAGCTCAGTAATCCTATAAGTCCCAGTTTATCTGGCAGCCAAAGCAGGAAGCATCCAGGATGTACCATTCAGAGGAACACAGGAAAATGTCGAGACAAAAGAGCAAAACAAAATCTCAGACCTCCATCCATCCACACAGAACAAGCTCAGGAGACACAGACATAGTAGAAATTTGAAGTTACATACCTAAAATTTTCTGCAAAGATAACAACTGAAGTAAAGAAGCAACTCAGTTTTTGTATTATTTTGCTAAATTTATATGTCTATGTCTGATGGTCTGGACAGCTATTTTGAAGATAACAAGAGGCATTATGTTAGCCATTGTTAATTTATTTCCTATCTTGTTTCAAAGGTCTGTATTGTTTTCATTGTTTTGTTTGGTTAGGTTTTATTCTGTTTTGTACTGTTTGATTTTGTTATGTCTGATGGTATGGGAAGTTATTTTGAAGGTAACAAGACATATTATGGTAGCCATTGTTGATTTCCTATTATCTTGGTCTGAAGTCCTGTATCACTTTCATTGTTTTGTTTTGTTTTGATTTGATTTGTTCTGTTGTTGTTATTTTATTCTCAATAAAATAAACTAAAGAAGTCCCAATTTACGGGACAAAAGAGTGAAACTCAAGATCAGATAGCATATTGGAGGTGAATCTAGAGTTCAAACTCAGGCACATATAGTTCATGTGTGGTTCCCTGTGGTGTTTCAATACCATACATTTCTAAACTATATGGGCATTATTTGCTTAGTATTAAGAATAGAATTACAACTACTTGAGCTGTTTTCTTGTAGTCAGCCCCTAGATCCAGCCCCTCTCCCCAGTAGTCTTGGGTACTCCAGGCTCCCCAAGGATGGCAATGAAAGTAAAGACCAGTTTGATGTGAAGAATTTGTGACACTCCGCGCTCTTAGGGTGCCCCCAGGCATTGTGGGAAGGGCACATGTTTCAGTCCTAAACAGAGTATAAGTTAGGATCTCTTCTGCTTTTTAGCATCCTTTGTTATTCTCTAATATCTATCCTCATGGCAACCCATTCCTACAATAAGTAGCCAGACCATCATCTGAGAAAGGGAAAGGAAGCATCTATGAAGTTAATCAAGAGCTATATTCACAAGTCAGAAGTCTCTAGAGGTTTCCTCCAATAGAGTTTTTACTTCTTGGGGGCCATTCATACTTCTTAGCACAGACATCATTAGTAGTAGCATCATCATTGCCATCACTACTGTACTTAATTTTATTTTCTGGTTATAACTGCAGAAGAAAACTAAGCAATAAAGAATCAAAAACAATTAGGCCTAACAAGGTTAGAAAGGTTGCAGGTTACAAGATTAGTATACAGAACCCAGTTATGTCGCTGTACACTTACATGAACAATGTAAAAATTAAATTAAGAAAATAATTTCACGTATAATAGCATCAACAAAGAATTAAGCACACAGGAGTAACTTTAATCATGTAGGTGTAAGACTTGCACATTAAAACTATAAACTGTTGGAGCCAGGGATTTTGCTCAGTGGCATAAGTGCCTGCCTGGCAAGTGCAAGGTTGTGAGTTTGATGCCTGGTACCAAAAAACAAAAACAAAACAAACAAAAAAACTATAAACTATTATTTTAACAAATGAAAGAAACTAAAATAAATGGAAAGACATCCCATGTTCATGGATTGGAAAGTTGTTTTCTGTTTTTTTGTACCCGGGATAAAACTCATGACCTGGTGCTTGCCAGTCTGGCACTTACACTGCTGAGCTAAATCCCCAGCATGGATTGCAAAGTTTAATATTGTTAGGAAGTCCATCCTACCCAAAGCAACTTAGAGATTTAATGCAATCCCCATGAAAACTCCAATTAAGTTTTTGAGAAGAAAATAAGTTGTGATTTTTTTTTTTCAGATTTCAGAAAAAGAACCCGGCATGGTAGCACACACCTATAATAGCAGCACTTGGGAGGCTGAGGCAAGAGGATACCATGAGTTTGAGACCTGCCTGGGCTACACTGTAAGTTCAAAGCCAGCATGAAACATGTAGTAAGGCCTTCTCTCAAAAACAAACAAACACAAAACCAGATTTCTGACAAGGATTTCAAAATCATCCTTTAAGGTGCTGCTAATGACAAATGTTGCAAGGAACCCTGGGTATCCAACATGCAAAACAATGAAGTTGGACCCTTACCTTATACTCTGTACAAAAATTAACTCAGAAACGATAAAAAGCTTAAATGTAACAGCTACAACTATAACATTTTAAAAAGAAAACACAATGGAAAAGCTTTATGGCATTGAGTCTGGCAATAATTTCTTGGATATAACATCAAAAACAGACAATAAAAGAAAAAAATGAACTTCAGGAAGTGAATTGGATTTTAGGAAGATTTAACACTTCTATGTATTAGACGACATTATCAATTCAGTGCAAGGGGAAGACTACAGAATAGGAAAAATATTTGAAAATTATAAATATAGTAATTGATTAATTTCCAGAGATTATACAAGACTACTACAACTCAACAATGAAATACTTGATT